ATTACTGTTGCATTCGTGAATCTCGTTTTGATGGTAGTTTTACTGTGAGAACAATCAAATCAGCATAATGAAGTGATCATCCTCAACTTGGACCAATCACATTCATTTTTCAGTAGAATCTTTGAAATTTTTTGGTTTCTTGTTCGTACTTATTTAATTCTGATTCACTCAAAACAATAATTTCTGGTGTGATTTCATTCTGCGATTCGAGCTTTCGTGGTTTTTCAGCTGGACCCTGCTGTGACGAACCGTTGGAGACGCCCTCACCCGAGACATTACCTCCTGAAACTCCGTCAACAACGACCACTCCTCCTCCAACAACAACCACACAAAGCACACCTCCACCTACATCGCCATCAACTTACCCTCCCTATCAACCCCCTTACCAACCACAACCCTATCAACCACCCTACCAGCCATATCCATACTGCGCTCAGTGCTCCTATCCTTATAATGTTGTGATCAGCATTCAGTGCGTTCCATCATGTCAACCTACCTGTCATCGGGCATGTTCATCCCAACCATACCATATACAGTCTCAGTATAATCCAGCAACAACTTCATGCGCTAGACAAGTGAGTAGTTCACGTTNTTGTTTTGTTCCGCCGAAATATTTCATACTTTACTACCAATGGCATCTACATATCTAAATGCGAGTAATGGTATTCCTTCAATATTCATTAATATTGAGCATTTTATCAGTTATTTCCTGAACTGTTGAACTCAAAAACATGCACCGAATGAACAAGCAAATTTTTATTTACGGAATGTAAGTTGTCATGTAGGAAACAATCAGTTTGCAGCATCTAATCGTGAGTTTCCATTTGAATAAAACAGTGCACACTAAACAATATATTAATTTCCCGTAAGTGATGAAATTTCATTGCATGATCTTTAGTGAATGATCAATAGACATGTGTATACATGTATTTGTTTATTAGATATTCGGATAAACAAAATCCACAGTTCAAAAGTATAGTGAGTGATTTTAGTTAGTTGTATGGCACACAATTCAGATGGATGCACCACTTGTATTCATCACCCTCCCACACTCATCGCTCGCGCAATCTCAATGAATTCATTGAAAAACTTCTGAAGTGGTATTGGAGAAAAGGATGAGGAGGGCTGACGGTAAATCATGAACCCTTCTCCTCCTTCTTCCCAACTAAAAAACCTGACTATGAGATGGTATCTGTAAATAGTTCTTCATCGAACAACAACGAATGCGTTCAGCAATGCAAATTTCGTCATCTCACCTTTATGCATAGTCAAA